TTCTGTGCTAAGCTGTACTGTCTCCGCGACCTCTCGTTCCTCGGTTTATTGTGCTTTTCTGCTTTTTACCTCCTACTCTCCGGCTCAACACGTAAACACCAGCCCCACAGCTCTGTAACTCCTGACACTCGCTACAACCGGAGTCATTTCGGCTGCAGATAATTTAACATCATCAAAGATGGCAAATGTTGCCGTTTCGCTACCTAGGGAATCTCCCAAGGCACGAGATACTCCGGTTTAAAGTCGCTCGATTTGGCAAAACGCCACTGACATCTCTACAACACAGCTTAGGCTTTTTTTTTTTTCTTTTTTTTTTTCCCCTGTTCGTAGCAAGTAAAGTTGGAGCTTAAAACTTACCAAACTTAATCTCCCACTGTTTAGGTACTTCTTAAGTGATTTTGAGAGGGATGTGAAGTGGACTGTCAGATCCCAAACCATTTGCTCGCCTTCCCTTGATATTTTTTTTCTTTCTTTCTTTTTTTTTTTTTTTTTTACCAATAGCAAACTATACCAAAAGTGGGTATGACATTTAGATGTCAAATGGATAGGGTTTTATCTAGAAGTTAGATCGTAAAAATCGCCCAGACCTCAGACAGATACCCCTCACTGGCTCTCAAAAGTCACGTGAGGTCCATAAAGTTAGTTTTATGGTTTTGGGGAGTTGACAATGTACAATATATTTCACATTCTCTAGAATGTTAAGTGACACTTTAACTGCTTGGTTTGGCTTGTAAGGGGCAGCAATGGGTGAGCACTTTTCCAGATGAGATAAACGTTGCAATTGCAGGGAACATGTTTTGCGGGTCCAGTTTTCAGTCCAGGGAGCCAATAGACTGGAGTCCTGAAAGTAAGTTCTTCTGAAATATTATCTGCTTAAACTATTTTAAAGGGTTGATGTGGCTAAAGGCTGCGCGGGGAGGAAAGAGGGTCTGTCTCTCTTTCAGAGCTTTATTTCTCACTTTTAGAAGGTCCTAATTCTTACCCTCCCGAGAGCTGGAATTGCATTACATTTCCATCACAGCTTCGAGGCCCGCAAGTAAACTTTGTGGAAGCGGGAGAAATAGAGAAATCTGTAAAGATTCATTATCATTGCAAGGCAAACTCCATCCTGTCTTTGCCGGGGGACATGTGTACTTCAGACAAAGTTTGTTTTTGTCCTTCGCCATGTAAAAAGGCTCTGGCTCGTTTATTGGAGGCGGTTCGGTGTGGTTTGTGCTGCTCGCAAACAGCCACAAATCTGGCCCATGCCTTTGCATTTCAATTAGCTGTGTTCTGTCTGTGCTCTTCAGGTTGTTAACACCTTTTGATTTTAATTGTTTTTCACCTGCTTGCCAAAGAAATGTATGCACTTTTCTTTCTTTTTTCTTTTTTTTGTCATTTTCTTTTCCTTTCGGCCTATGTAGAGACCGGGGGGTTCTGCCCCAAGGCTTTTTTTTTGCCTTTTTTTTTCTCTTGGGTTTCGGTTTTGCTTTTTTTTTTTTTTTCCCCAATAATACGAACGAGTGTCCTCATATTTCCGTAGTTCGCTTCTACCATATGGAGACACTGAATGCCCGCTGTTATGTCTCCAGCCTGTCTTGAAGTGCTACAGAAAAATAATCAGAGGCGCTGCGGTTCGCAGAGGGACCCTCCAAACCTTAGTGAACCCACCGGTATCTCCCAGATCCCCTTCTCTCCCTCTAAGGGCGACATCGCTCCGGACAAGGCGGGCAGCAGCCTTTTTCTTTGGGAAAATAAACAAGTTGGCGGGGAAGGGCAGGGGAGCAGAGGCTGCCATGGCTCGGGGGCGAGGGGCTGGGGGGGCTGCGTCCCCCCGCTCGGGGCTGGGGCGGGCAGGTGGCCCCGGCCGGGGGCTTCGGCTCCGCGGAGGCGCAAATAGAGCAAAATAGAGCAAAAAAGCCCCCCCAAAAAGGGCCGATATAGCAAAATAGAGTGTGTGTGTGTGTGTGTGTGTGTGAAGCCCTGGATGTTGCTTTTTTTTTGGAAGCCAAGTCGCCACATCTGCAGCAGAGGCGGGGGGACACTTCGTCCACACCTGAACCAACTCACATCTATCCCCCCCCCGCCTCCTCGCTCCTTAAAAATATTTTTTAGAAAAAAAAGTTCAAAGCGGAGGTACTGGGAGCGGGGGGGATGGGGATTTTCTAGAATTTGGAGCAGTCACAAGCTGCTTTTTTTTTCCCCCTTCTTTTTTTTTACGGTAAGACAACATTTGGTGGACACATGTCCGTCTCTTTTACACAAAGCAGAATGTCCCCCTTTAGCACACTTTGGAGATTGCTTTTCCTTCCTCGGGCTGTTTTTCCTGTCCTGCTCCATGTGTCTCCTAATATCTTTGCTATCATCATTTGAACTTCTGGCTTCTCCCCGAGCGGTCAGGGGGTGGCCAGTGCCATCCTGAAAAACCTCTGCTCTGAAAACCTGTAAACACAGACACAGCAAAAGCTGGAAATTGGAGGAGGGGAAGCGGGGTGCGGGGAGCCTTTCCTATTCAGCGGAGGGGGGTTATGCTGAACAGCCTCTCCCTAATCTCCGCGCGAGCTGGGACGCCTGCTTTTCGGTTGATAATAAAGATATTTTATGGGATCCTGAAGGGCTTCAATGGTATGGTCTTTAAAGGTGAATTTAGGAGCAGAAACACGACCGGCTGCAGAGGGTTTGTGTCCTCGGGGTTAGAAAGAAGGAGAGGGGACGTGGGGAGAGGTGAGCGGTGGGGTTGGGGTTAGATGAAGCGATGGCCTGCTAATTCCTTACCCTTCTGGTCTGTACTGGTGACTACAAATGATTTCTAGCGATTCGAATGCTAAAAGAGCGGTTTAGGCAAGAAAAGTGACATCCCCCCCCCCCCTTAATGTAGGTTTGAAAATGTACTCATACGTTCAATGCACGCCGTGCACCCACCAACACCGTGTTTCCAAAATATATCAATCCATCCATGTACCCAGAGATCTACCCATCCATCCACCCTCTTCCTCACCCCTCATCTCCATCACTGCCCGATCCCCACGCAAAGATACTCGTCTTTTCTACCGTCCCAGGCAAAACTTTCCCTCCAAACCCACCCCAGTCACTGGAGGCACGAGGGTTTGTTGTGTTGTGTTTTGTTTTTTCCTTAAATATCACCATTTCCAAGCGCTTGGTGCACCCAACATGGTGTTTCAAGGGGGAAAAAAGCAGATCTGGGTAGCCAGAGGAAGGGGAGCTCGCAATGCGGTTGGGCTGCAGGACATTGTGGGCAGGAGGAGATGCCAGTGGGGGTGGGTGACAACAGGTAACAACCCTGTGCTGCCCCCCCCGCCCCTTCTTTGGGCATCCTCGGGGCAGGGGTGACACTAATGTCACCCGTCCATCCTTCCCTCCATCCTTCCCTCCATCCCTCCCTCGCCATCGCTCACAAGAAACCTCTTCTCTGCCCAAGAGATCTCTGCAGCGTGTACCATGACTTGAAGTTTTGGCTTTTCTTTTCTTTTTTTTTTTTTTTTTTTTTCCTAAACTGGATGGGGGGG